GCGTTCATCCTATGCTGAAAATACCCGATCCCGTCTCGCTCTCGGAAGTCAAGCAGCATGAGGCTTGGTTAGTACTGTGGTGGGGGACCACACGGGAATACCGAGTAACGCATTCTGTCTTCTTTTTGCCCAACTACACACCCTCCTTGCATGCATGCACCCACCCCCTGACCCCACCATCACCACATCAATCATTTCTCGTTCAATTAATCATGCCCAACCCCATCAATTAACTCTCATTGAAATAATCATACCTTCTCCCCCGGCCCTTCCCCCGGCACTCGCCCGATATCCAAAAAATCGCCCAAACGCCGCCTGTCGCACTCGCCGTCACACGCAACGCACACTCCGCACACTCCGCACACCCCTCTCACTGTGCCCATGGACCCCGCCCCAGGGAACACAGGGGACCCCCCGCGCCCTGCACACGCACCAGTGCAGCAGGGTTCTGCCAAGCGCCCCCGCCCGCTGCTCACCGCCAACGCCAGCTCGGCCAGCTCGGCCACCCCTTCCTCCGCAGTCCCCCAGAACATGCTAATTGAAGCGACGTCATCGTCACCAGCCGGTCCATCTTCTACGATCAAGCCGCCCCCCATCAAGAAGTATGACGTATTTCTCGCGCATGGCTCGCACGACAAGGCTTTCATGATCGACGTTCGGCGGGAGCTCTTACAACGTGGTGTCAGGGCGTTTGTGGACAGGCTGGACTGGTTCGGCGTCAGGTGCAGTGGCATGGACGACGTGCATGCCCTTCTTGAGGGCTCACGCATCATTGTTATTTCAGTCTCGCCCTATCTCCTCGCCTCGGGCTTTGCCATGGAAGAGGTGCGCTTTGCCCTCGACAATAACCCCGTCATCATCCCTGTCTTCATGCATGAAGCCCTGCCGTTCAATAGCGTTTGGGGGGATGCCCGGCTCGCTGACGCCGACATCATTGAGCGTGTCACCGGCGCCGTGCATGAGGAGCAGGCTAAGGCTTGGATTGGCCCTGACCTTATCGCTGCCTTTGGTGATCTTGCTCACGCCAAGGGTGCTGTCCACAAGGCTGAACACTCTGAGGACCCGAACGTGAAAGCATGGTACTACTCGCGCTGTGAACGAGTCAAGCTCATACACTCGCTGCTTGAGTGGGGGTGCGTCCAGGGCGACCGTAACGGCCACGACAGCTTTTCCGATCTCGTCTCCCGCGTTGCAGTCGCTGTCGTCGATGTCTTGCGCGACTCTTGCTCTATTGAGCGTTTGCCTTTACTCATGCCGCCGCCACCTAACCCATCCGAGTACTACCCGCTCCCTGACACTCGCGCTGCGGTCATTAATGTCCTTCTTGGTGCGAACAACGTCTCAGTCGTCGGTGTCAACGGGCTCGGTGGCGTCGGCAAGTCGTCACTCGCTGCCGATGTCGCCATCCACCCCGCCATCACCTCGGTCTTCTCCGTCTTCTGGCTCCCTCTCGGTGAGGACAAGACATCTCCCATCGCCATTGCCAGCCGCATGTCCTACTTCCTGAAGCAAGGCCTCGGTTGCGCAATCGATGCACAAGCTGGCCTCAATGACCTCCAACCCATTCTTGCTGCCAAGACCCGGGCCCTCGCCGCCGCCGGCACCCGCATCCTGCTCATCCTCGACGACGCGTGGACCACCCGCCAGGCCTCCGTCTTCACCAACCACATCGCAGCCCCGCATGCCGTCCTCGTCACCTCGCGTAACGCCGCTGTTGCTACCAACTCCGCCTCCTCCATCGAGCTTGGTACCTTTGCCCCGGACGACGCTGCTGTTGTCCTTCGCAACTACCTCGCCAAGGGCTCACCTGAGTGGGCAATCACCCTTGCTCTCGACGATCCCCGCATCGTCTCCCTCGCGACCTTTTGCCGTGGCCATGCCCTCGCCCTCGCCGTCCTTGGCTCGTCCATTTCTGGCGAGGCTGCGCTTGACGACGCTTTTGAGGACGCTGCAGATGCAACTGAGCTTGCCATGGATGAGCACCGCGATGATTGCGGCGGATCGGACGCCAAGTACGCCCACATTTTCGACATCATCACTTGGACCCTCGGCGGTGCCATCCTCAAGCGTGTCCGCAAGGTGGCGCGGGCTATTTACGCCATGCTCGCCGTCTTTCCATCAGACGCGCCCATCGACGTCGCCAACTTCCGCTCCGCGATCGACGCAAGCAATATCAAGTTTGCTAGGGCCCTCGATGCCCTCGCCAACACGTCGTTGCTGCGCGTCGTTGCCGCGGATGGCGGCTCCATAACCGTAGTCGAGCTGCACGATCTGCACCTCGAGTACATTCGCCATCGGCTAGAGGTGTGCTTTGACGACATCCCTTCCCTTCCTGCCCGTCACCTCGCCGTTGTCGCCGGGGTGCCTCCGCCTGGCGCCACACCAGAGTCCGCTAGGGAGACCATGACCTCTGGCACTGCCTCCAATTGGATCGTCACCCACGGTATTTCACACCTGATTGCAGCCGGAGCGAACCATGCTGCCGTTGCGGTTGCTCTCTCCTGGCCGTGGATGAAAGCCCGCGCAGACGACTCGCTTGGTGGCCTCCTCAATGATCTGCGTTGTGTTGTGCGCCTTGGCTGTGAAGGAGTCAAAGACGTTGACGAGGTTGAGCGTGCGCTGTCGCTCTCACGCGAGATCATTGAGAGCGGTACGTCGCACGTCGAGACCGAGCTTGTCGCCCGACTTGCCTATGGCAAGGCGTCCAAAGCCGTGAAGGACCTGGTTGCTGCTGTGAGCAAAGATGCCTCGTCTAAGGCTTTCATTCCATCGAGAGCCGTGGACCCTGTCACGCATCGTGGTGCTGAGCGCTTTCGCTTTGTTGGCTCGTACGAAAAAGTCATCAACATCGGTGGCTCACTGGTTGCTGGTGGATGTAAGGATAATGTGGACGTACTTGACGTGCTAACTGGTGAACGCGTGGAGGTGCTGGAGGGCCACACCGACTGTGTGAATGGTGTTCTTGCGCTGCCGAGTGCGGATGGCCAGCAGCCTGTCCTGGTCTCGTGGTCGAGAGACAACACGATCCGGGTGTGGCATGCTGCGGACGACGGGACGGGCGCCATACGGTACACCGCGTACAGTGCCTCCTGTGAGGTGCTGGAGGGCCACACCAGCGATGTGGAGGGTGTGATTGCGCTGCCGAGTGCGGATGGCCAGCTGCCGGTCCTGGTCTCGTGGTCGGAGGACAAGACGATCCGGGTGTGGCCTGCGGACGACGGGACGGGCGCCATGCGGTACACCGCGAACAGGGACTCCTGTGAGGTGCTGGAGGGCCACACCGGCGATGTGCGGGGTGTGATTGCGCTGCCGAGTGCGCATGGCCAGCTGCCTGTCCTGGTCTCGTGGTCGTTCGACGGGACGATCCGGGTGTGGCATGCTGCGGACGACGGGACGGGCGCCATGCGGTACACCGCGAACAGGGACTCCTGTGAGGTGCTGGATGGCCACACCATGTATGTGAAGGGTGTGATTGCGCTGCCAAGTGCGGATGGCCAGCTGCCTGTCCTGGTCTCGTGGTCGGAGGACAAGACGATCCGGGTGTGGCATGCTGCGGACGACGGGACGGGCGCCATGCGGTACACCGCGAACAGGGACTCCTGTGAGGTGCTGGAGGGCGACACCTACGGTGCGCAGGGTGTGATTGCGCTGCCGAGTGCGGATGGCCAGCTGCCTGTCCTGGTCTCGTGGTCGCTCGACGACACGATCCGGGTGTGGCATGCTGCGGACGACGGGACGGGCGCCATGCGGTACACCGCGAACAGGGACTCCTGTGAGGTGCTGAAGGGCCACGACGGCAATGTGGGGGGGGTGATTGCGCTGTCGAGTGTGGATGGCCAGCTGCCTGTCCTGGTCTCGTGGTCGTTCGACGGGACGATCCGGGTGTGGCATCCTGCGGACGACGGAACGGGCGCCATGTGGTACACCGCGAACAGGGACTCCTGTGAGGTGCTGAAGGGCCACGACGGCAATGTGGGGGGGGTGATTGCGCTGTCGAGTGTGGATGGCCAGCTGCCTGTCCTGGTCTCGTGGTCGGCCGACGGGACGATCCGGGTGTGGCATCCTGCGGACAACGGGATGGGCGCCATGCGGTACACCGCGAACAGTGCCTCCTGTAAGGTGCTGAAGCGCCACACCAGCCTTGTGCGGGGTGTGATTGCGCTGCCGAGTGTGGATAGCCAGCTGCCCTTCCTGGTCTCGTGGTCTAGCGACGACACGATCCGAGTGTGGCATGCTGCGGACGACAGGACAGACGCCATGCGGTACACCGCGGACAGTGCCTCCTGTGAGGTGCTGGAGGGCCGCACCGGCAATGTGAAGGGTGTGATTGCGCTGCCGAGTGCGGACAGCCAGCTGCCTGTCCTGGTCTCGTGGTCGGGGGACGAGACGATCCGGGTGTGGCATGCTGCGGACAACGGGACGCGCGCCATTCGGTACACCGTGGACAGTGCCTCCTGTGAGGTGCTGAAGGGCCACACCTACGGTGTGCGGGATGTGATTGCGCTGCCGAGTGCGCATGGCCAGCTGCCTGTCCTGGTCTCGTGGTCGTGGGACAACACGATCCGGGTGTGGCATGCTGCGGACGACGGGACGGGCGCCATTCGATACACCGCGCACAGGGACTCCTGTGAGGTGCTGGATGGCCACACCAAGTGTGTGCAGGGTGTGATTGCGCAGCTGCCTGTCCTGGTCTCGTGGTCAGAGGACAAGACGGTCCGGGTGTGGCATCCTGCGGACGACGGGACGGGCGCCATGCGGTACACCACGGACAGGGACTCCTGTGAGGTTCTGAAGGGCCACACCGGCGGTGTGCAGGGTGTGATTGCGCTGCCGAGTGCGCATGGCCAGCTGCCTGTCCTGGTCTCGTGGTCGTGGGACAGGACGATCCGGGTGTGGCATGCTGCAGACGACGGGACAGGCGCCGTGTGGTACACCGCGGACAGTGCCTCCTGTGAGGTGCTGGAGGGCCACACCAGCGGTGTGAATGGTGTGATTGCGCTGCCGAGTGCGAATGGCCAGCTGCCCGTCCTGGTCTCGTGGTCGGGGACAACACGATCCGGGTGTGGCATCCTGCGGACGACGGCACGGGTACCATGCGGTACACCGCGGACAGTGCCTCGTGTGAGGTTCTGGGGGGCCACACCAAGTCTGTGCAGGGTGTGATTGCGCTGCCGAGTGCGGATGGCCAGCTGCCTGACCTGGTCTCCCACTCAGACGCAGACGAGACGTTCAAGTGGCACCCTTCCCCCACCGGCTACACCCTCCACGCCCGCCACCCTTCCTCCTTCTGGCTCCACGCCCCCCACTCCACCTCCACCCACCCACGCAACAACTCCACCCGCATCACCATTGCCGACCAAACCGGCCTCTCCACCCCCCACCCCTCTGATACCGATTGCCTCCTCGCTGTATTCTCCAATCGCTCCCCCTTTATCCTCCGCCGCCACCCATAACACCCACCGCCTTTACTCCCCCAGCACCGCGCCCGCATCCTCGCCGCCGCCAGCACATCCGCAGCCTCCTGCGCCATGGGCCTCACCAGCAGATCGACCGACCAACACCGCCGGATGAATCACCCGCCATCGCACTAGCAGCGTTGCTGGTGAGGACCTGACGACCGACCTCCATGGCGTTGCTGCCATCAAACGCCGGCGCTCGTATGAGCATCTCGTAGAGGAGCATGCCAAAAGTGAACATGCCGCCCTCGAAACCCTCGTCGGCTTCGCGCAGCTGCTCCGGCGCCATGCACGCCACCGATGGCACCACCGCCATCGTCCCCTGGTTGCTCTTGATGACCATCCGTCCGCTCTTGTGTCCACCACCACGTTGGATGGCTTGAGCGAGCCGTGCCCGTCGCCCGTGATCGAGTGGACCTCGGCGAGCGCACGCGCCAGCGCCAGCCCGATGCTCAGCGCCCGCACGTGATCGAGGCCCGAGCCCGAGCTCACCTCGTCGAGCCCGGCCAACCCGCCGACGCCGCTCACTCCGCCGTTGCCCTCGCCAATGTGGTCAAGAAGGGCAACAGCGGCTCCCTCCCCACGCTCAAGGCCATCGGCGACGAGATGCGCGCGATGCACGGGGGTGCAAAGCTCCAACCCGCCTTCCTTAACCTCGCGCTGGCCGATGCAGTCCAGACCAGCCACGTTGTGACCAGAGGCAAGCACGGCGGCCACGTCCGAGTCGAGTCCGTCTGCAAACGTGGCTGCAGCAACGCGCTCTGGTGTGGCGCTGGAAGCTCCACAGGCTCCATTAGTGAGTCTGATGAGAGCCACGGCCGCACCGACGCCGTCGAGCTCGGGCTGGAAGAGTTGGCCATGGCCTTGCAGGAGGCCAAGTCGGTCGGTGGTATGTCCAAGGCCGATTGCGGCTCCAGGATCAAGATGATGCTCCCAGATCACGTGTGGCGAAAGGGTCTTGGCGCGTCTGTGATCAACACCGCCCTCGCCCGAAAGCTTGTCAAGTACAACGGCGTCGGCACTGCTCGCAAGCTGATCCTCAACGAGGACACCTAATGAGTGTCACCTTGGAGGCCCTCGTAGCGAATCCTGAATAAGTACACCCCAACATAATTGCCGCCTGTCGGTCGATGACATGGGTGGGCGAGCGCATCGACGGCAAAGCGCCGGCCCGATTTGCTCCGTCGTCTGCCGGTGTAACCTCCCTCCCCGCACTCGCACTGGAACACCCGCGGCCTGCTTTGGAACTCGACCAATACCCACCCCCACACACAAGCCGATGTCGCTCATGGAATATACCCACACATGGACACGGTAGCGGGTGGGGGGG